CGCTTAAAGGCCGACGACCAGTTCGCGCTTTCCACTTTTCCCTTGCTTCCTCCTCTCCACCTTCTACCCTGTCCACTGTTGCCTGTTTCCTCCTCCCCCATGGTGAGAAGGATCTTCTGCCTTGCAGATTCTCGAGTCTGGTCGTCGGCCTTTAAAGGTCGACGTACAACCCCGGTGTTCTGCAGGGAAGATAATCCTGTTAGCGCTCCCCTCTCCTAATCTGCGGGGGGAGTCAAGTTGGGACAAGCTTAAAAGTGGAGAGGATATAGGAAAGGAGGGGGAGGGCAAAAGTGGACAGCGCGAAGTGTACGTCGGGCCTTTAAGCGAGTTCGCCTTAACGGGAGTCTACTCTATACTTATAATTGAACTTTTTTGAACTTCAGAGCAAACTTTTTTTAAGGTAATATGCCAGAAAATATTTTAACTTACATACGAAGAAAGTGAGACTGGGAAAAATATAAAGCAGTAACGAGCAAGTATGCACCTTAATGCTGGGAATAAAGTGAAACTAGACGAAAAGAACCATGTTCCACTGCACTGGTACATGTACGCACACACGCTCCTATGCAGTTGATCACAACAGACCAATACAAAAAATAAACATGCACCAGAAATTCCCAACCATATATGCTCACCACTGTTCCGGCGCGCGGAAGATGCACATCAGTGCTCTCCACTTTGCGATTAAACCCAGACGAGGCACGCGAACCAGGACTCTCGCTACGAGACTCTACTTTGTTTCAGACTACAAGTCCGACCGCAGCCGGTGCTACAATCCATTTGAGCCATTCTAGAAGTGCCAAAGGTGTATCCCCACATAGCTCATCATCTTTTTATGTTTGCCATTGTTGTCATAGAAAAGATCATGGCACATTCACTGCGTGATTGGTTCAGCCGGCGATAGCAAAAGGGCAACGAGCGCCGTGACGATGCCAGCAGTTGTACTGCCCTTGCTCTCATCAACAGCAAGGCAAGCCCATTGAGGCTGGTTAACTCATCGCTGTGTAAGCTGATACAATTACCTATTTAAAAGAAAGGCTAATTAAAGAGTCGGTTCTTTTTTCTGCTTTTCTCTTGCGCACCTTTTCCTAGTGCATGCACGGGAGTTTTTTTATAGCTGTACCAATGAGGTACGAGAGATTGTGCGAACCTCTCCTCTGTTCTCCTTTGTGTCAATGGGAGGAGGAGCCAGGAGCTAAGCAGCACGGAGGAGAAGCAACGAAACTGTTCGTGCTCTGAAGTCACAGTGACGTTGGCTCCATATAGGAACCACATTTGAGCCAGCACGCTCAGGAGGTATACTCACCTCTTCCCTAGGGGGTGGTTAGGGAAATTACTGCCCTAGGCTCCAATCGGCTGGCCCGGCTTCCTGCAGAACTGTAAAGAGCATTGTTTCATGGGTATCCGAGCTAAGTCCCAAAGACTCGAGGCTTCTGGCGCCTGGCTATATTTTGTAATACAATGTTCTGAGGAAGTTGGCGTTTTTGGAGTCATGCACCTGCTGCATCGCTAGCAATCGAGACAAGTGGCTTTCGGCAGCTAGCTCCTTTCGACCGAGTCTTTCTTTTGGTAGGCTGATGGCACTTCGCAGTTCTCTGTGGTCGCTGTGAGCCCCTCAATTGTCGCTGCTACTCTTTTGGTCAGGTAGCCTTCATAGCACTTATATTTGTCGATTTGAGACTGTTTTTGGCTCTCGTGGGTGGTACAGTCGAATTGCCTTCCTTGCCATTCTCGTATGTCTCCTTGCCATTCTCGTACGTCTCCTTGCCATTCTCGTACATCTCCTTGCCATTCTCGTATGTCTCCTTGAATTTTCGTTATTTCAGGGTTAAAAGTGTTCCATATTTGCTGTTGTTCCCTTGATCAGTGATGGTTTTGATGACCATATCCTGAATAGATGATGATTCGGCGGCACTTCATTCAGATTCTGCCAGCTCGGTTGGCGGTTGTGTTTCCGTCACACTGATTCTTTTAAGTTAAGCCTCCGCTCTTGTCATCTGTTCTTCTAACAATTCACAGTCAATGATGGCCTCTATCTTGCAATTTAGTTTCTTTAACATTACCCTTTGATTAGCAGAAATTCAATCTTTTTTTGATCCTAACCAAGATCAGTTGTGTCTGTAACTAGCAGAGCATCAGTTTTGTTCAGGAGCTCGTACTGATGCTCGTACCACAGCCCTTCTCTGTTTGCCAACACAAGCTTGAGTTGGGGATCACATTTCTTGGTTTGTAGATTTCGTCCACGTTCACCCGGGGTTTTGGCACCAGGGTGCTTGTTGTTTAATGACAATGGCATGTTTAGCCCAGTGTGGCCGTATGTGCTCTCAAAGGGAACAGAGTAGCGCATTCCTCTGATACACAAACTTTCTCAACAGTGCGAGCGCCGTAATTTTGCGAGTCAATGACGCTAGTCACACAATATTTTTCTTTCTCGCGGTCCTCTAATAACATTCAGAATCTGGGTACGTTGCAGCGGGAAAATGCATGGAGATAGGTTCTGTCTTGAAAAAACGGACAGTTCAGAAGCATATTCCGACCTCATGCTTTAAACTTTTTTCTCGGGAAGTTTGTAGAGCTAACATTTCATAGAAAGTTGTACACAGATCGGACATCCCTGAAAAAATTGTGGGAGGAAACTGGCATCTGTGGCAGACAGTGTACTGCTTCGTGAGGAAGGCACATATTGAATTGGGTGCTACTGGATCACGTAAGCAAACTTTGCACACAATTCTCAGGTGATCTTGAACGAGACGAGATGTGACGGCATTCACTGCTCGCCTTGTCGTCTGCACGAACGCCGTTTCTCAGGTCATTTTTAACTCAAAATGAGACTTCTCAGCTTACACAAAACTTGAAAACTAATGAAAGTGTTTTTATGAAGCATCTATATTATATGCTAAAAATAGTTTTTATTCTATAAATTGCCCAGTCAGTATGAAAATTGTGATTTTCACTTATTGTTCCCTGCGTTCCCAAGCAAAGTTGAACCGAGTTGGAGCACTGGGGTATTTTGCAGCTATTCAACAAGGGATGACCAGTGACAAATAAAAGAGGACTCGAATTATTGAGAGTCGACTGCTTGGCATACATTTCACATCATCAAGCTTCTCATAATTCTTTGGGTACAAGTTCTACTACCCATTGGTGAACCTGTACCCAAGTATGTCATCACCCTTTCAGCATTGCCAGCAGTTACTTTTAATGTGAAAATGTAGTGACAACCAGAATTGAAAATAAGGGAACAGAAATTATTTTGAACTAGTATTTGGGCCATTATACTTGGGTCAACTTTCTGTGGCAATGGAGCCAAAGCTACAGAGCCGAAGCAAGCCGTTTAACTGCGCAGCTCCAAATAGGGTGGTTCAACCAAAATAATTTGCTGGCTGTAACTTAATCAGGCAGGAAGTTGGGCAAGTTGTTTTATCATCTTTCAAGGTAAACCAGTGCAAAAAACAAACAAAAACAAAACAAGACACAAGAAACAAGGAAGGAACAGACACAGCACTGACTTTCAATTTAAGGTTTATTCTAGCAAAGTAGAAAAAAAATAACAGGAAGGAGTGTAAAGAGAAAATAAGACACAGCATAACCCACAAAAATATTTCGACCATGCCATATCACCTTCATGCAAATCTGCTACATTTCTTGATAAAGCATCCTTAATCACTCTCCACCAATGCTGATGGTGTTGTAACCTATTAGTCATCCCCACTCAATAAAATAGGTAAAAAAATGCTTCATCCATCTTTCTTGCTGTCTTGTATATTGTTCCGTGCCAAGATCTTTATATTAGTGAATGAAGGTTCGTAGCCGCACCTACTGCACGCCACCGCAGACCATCTTGCGGTGCACTGCAGTGTGTGCAGATATGCCAAATTTGTAGCATTTTTTTTTAGCTTCCTTGGGTTTTCTTGGTTTAAGTTTGCCGCAGGTTTCCTAGTTCCCTGCAAAATTAACATGCTGTCTTTTTTATGTGGTGTGCATTTTTGGTAGTCAGTATGGTGTATATATTGTTGGTAACTTCTGTGAGCTCCTGTCTTTTTTTGCCCCATAGGATTTTTGTGAAGTTTGGCAACCAAAAGTTGTCAAAACGAACCAAGCGAGTGGTGTACAGTATGCATGCGCAAGTGAGACGGAGGGAACCAAGACTTTTCATTGTTTCTGTATACTGGTTGGTTAGCCAGCTCACCGGCGTAAGCAAGCAGGGGTCACTGCAGAACCCAGGATTCCTGGGTTCTGCAGTGCAAGCTTTCGCTATATATGTTCCGAGCTGTGGTGCACCACCGATCCCCCTAGGGTCAGCAATAACTGAACATGATCCATATAGGATTTGACTTGGTGCCATAGCATGTGGGCTCCTATTTCGGTGTATTGCACCCATGCTATGATTTTTCAGCACCAGATTACACGTGTGAATAACCTCGAAACTGCAGTGCCAATGAAATTCACAGCATTTCTTAAATCAACGCCACATATCTGCGTCGATTGCAAGACGAATGGGATTCGACAAGGTGGACCACGGTGTAACTTACCTAGGAAGTCGGTTCGAGTTCTTTTGGTCAAAGCGTTGGCTCGTGTGTGCCGAAACGGCTGAAACACAGGGAAAGAGACGCGGATATGTCCGCATGATCAGTGATTGTGGTTCAACACCCCAACTGCGATACTCGTACAAAGAGACAAACTCTGTAACAAATGCGTGTCTGTCACGCCAAAACCCAAACTGTAACCGAAACAGTCAGGAACTACTTGGCGCAATAATACAGAGCCGTTAGCACTGCCCCCCTAGCTTTCTCATCATTGCCAGAGAAAGTTGGCCCCGAGTGTAGTTCAGCTAGGTATATTGGTGCGCTGAACCAATTTTGAGACAAAAAAGCAACCATGAAGAAACTGCAAAAACTTTCCTTTAAAGGCCCTTTCAAAATTTTCCTGACTGTCTCCTACATTGTGACTGCATTTAAGTCATTTTTTGAATGCTCTTGCCTCTCTGCTCTGTTTTGCAGCGCAACCCTGATGGAGTGGCCACAGTGACGTTCAAGGAGCCCGAAGAAGCAGACGCCTGCATCGAGCTCATGAACGGGCGCTGGTTCGCCCAGCGGCAGCTCTCCGCTGAGACATGGGACGGCAAGACGCGCTACAAGATCATCGAGACGGAAGAGGAGCTGGAAGAGCGCCTCAAGAAGTGGGATGAGTACCTTGACGGAGAGGACGAGGGGGACGACCAGGCGAAGACCTCCCATCCGGCAGACGCAGAGACGTCTGCAAAGAGGAGTGGCGATGGGGTTGACGACGCAATGAGCTCTAACCCAGAGAAGAGGCTCAAGACAGAAGAAGCGGGAGTCGACTAGGGCGAGCGAGTTGTTCGGCTCGTGGTCAGAGATGGGCAGGTGGCAGTTTGAATCTAGTAATGCTTACTCATTCCTCTGCAAGCCTGTAGGAGACGATTGGATCAGGCTTGCGAAAGCCGAGTGAACGCTTTGAATGATTATAGGCAGCAGCAGCAGTGCAAAGAAGACCAGGACAACAAATCAGACATACAAAAAGACAAACAAGGGTGCTGACTTATGCCCTCGCTCCACTGGAACGACAAACAGAAACCACTGACACCGACGAGCCTCGTGCGCATGCAGCATGCGTGCGAAGGTACCTTTGGCAGGCTCACAATCATTCGTGCTTACTTAACGAGCACCAAGAGACTGCGAGCGTGCCAATGGTACCTTCGCATGCATATTGCAAAAGGAACGAGGCTCGTCGGTTGCTTCTGCTTGTCGCTCTAGTGGGACTCGAGCATTACAACTCATCTACGTTTGTTTTCTGTGTATGCCTCCTACTGGTCTTGTTTGTGCCGTTGCTGCCTCTAATGAATCACCAGCTTGCCTAAGCTTCCATCTTGAAGAGCTTCGAAGGATTTTGTGCTGCTAGATTCAGACCACCGTTTGCTCACCTCTACCTGTGGCCCTGTCATTGTTTTACTGTTACTCTCTCAGAAATGAGGGGGCAGAAGCAGCGTCGTGCCTCTGCAGCAGTGAGTTTGATGCAACGGTTGCTAGGGGCAGCCTGCCGAGTTTTATTGCCGTCTGTTTATCGGTTTTACGAGTTTCATTCCTTCCGAACGAGTTATGTCGGTGGTTTTTAGTAGCATCTTTGTTTTGAGCAGCGATAGGGAAATCAGGATTGACACAAATGATGGGTTTGGGAACAGCCTGGGAGCACCAAATTATTCGGGTATAGTTACTGACAAAGTGAGGACGGCAGGAAGGAGCTTCAGTTGTCCCGCCTTCAGCGTGAGCTTCTTGACTTTGACAATGCTTCAACGTCTCATGCAGCTCGAGTGGCGCGCGCACGGCCGAGGCACGGTGGAAGCCATGGAGCGTGTGCTGGAGGCCGACCGTTTAAAAGATGTGCCCTGTCGTCATTCTGTTTGTGACTAGCGTATATCCGATAGGGTATTTCAGTTTGGCTCAGTAGGTCGGCGATACAAACAACTTAATTTCATTTACTGCTTCTTTGCTCTAATATGGACAAACTCCTAGTTTGAATATACCTGTGCAGTCAGAAGATTTGTTCTATCGGTCATCCTGTATGACACTACAGTCTGGAGCTATGGCCGTGTAGGGCATCACCACGTGCATGATGACCGTGATAAGCTGGAATATGTATCTGGGAAGTAAAAAAAATATTGTCAGGAAAAGGATCGATCAATGCCCAATTGTTTTCAATGTCTCGGAAAACAAATGCACTCCTTGCTTAGTGGCTTTTACACTCAAGATCTTCCCGTACTGTTGAGATAGATGGCAGCAATTAAATTGTAACGAGACTAACTGACCCATTTCATGTTCCTATTTAGTCTGAAAATTTCTCCATCACTTTTGCTCACTAGTGTGAAGCTTCCCCCGGCTGAACATGGGACATTGTCATGTGATGAGAAACCCAGCTAGACATCAATAGAGTAGATCTGAAATTTGAGGTATGTCATTGTAGGTCCCAGAATGGTAGAAAGAACATCATTTTCAAGGTCTATTGGAAATATATATGCATCATTAAGCTAACTTGTTTTGCCCTTTTTTTCAGTACGTTAATGGTAAAGATAGATTTAAACATCAAACGTACATTGTAGGCATGGCACCTTTCTCTCAAGGTTTATGGTTGCCAGCTGTTGGATGTGGTAAGAGTGGCACAAAAAGGAAAGCATTAAATTATCTTCAGACACTGCAGACCATTCGTTGCTGCTGTTCTGGCAGCAGTGCATTTAGTATAGGTTTTATGTGTGATGGTTTGTTCTCACATATTCTGGCTTCCTGCGTGGCTCTTCCTCTAGGACAGTGGTTCTCAACCATCGATGTTTCGTGGACCCCTTGTGAATCGGCAGAGATGATGGAAGACCCTGGAGGGGAAAGTTAAAGGTTAAATATAATAATGATTTAATAAATGAATAAAACTAAGGGCTAGTGTGAAGTAGACCTCTCTTATTGGCATACACAGGAGAAAACTTGCCAGAAAACTGAAACATTTCTTCTCGATTTGAAAAAAGACAACTTTTATTGCCGGGCTATACTGATGAGGTAGGGCTTCGCAGTCCCCTACAATGCTTTCGCGGGCCCCAAAGAGTCTGCGGACCCTTATTTGAGAACCACTGCTCTAGGAGGCAATAGCTAGCACTCCCGTGTCAAATGTGAGGTTTTGTGTGGCAAGCAAGGGGAAGTCGCTTTCAGCTGTCTAGTTTACATGTCCGTTTCATACATCACGTACTGTGCTAGAGAACAGTCGGGGAAGTAAGGTCGGGTTCTAAACCTTGTGCATGTGTGTGAGCATATCCGTAAGCTGATCACCATAAGTAATACCTGCGTACCTTACTACAATAGCAGTGTAGCCACCAGCTTGGTTTGATAGGTAGCCTACAGATTTCACAGCAACCCTGTCCCAACTACAGTGGTAGTACCAGGAGGGCAATGCACACCATTTAGGGTGCATGACAGCATTGCTTTTTGCTTGGCAGTATACGCCGTTTTACCTCCAGTTCAAACACTGCTAACGCTACGAGCTGATGGGACCAATCAGCCAGCGTCAAAAGGCCACCATCATGGTGTTCCTCATGTTTATGAAAGTGTTCTATCATCGCTGAACCAATCACAAAACAAAGAAGGCCCAGTGACTTGTGCCTTTAATGCTGCTTGATTGATCCCATTAGCTCGTAGCGTCGGCTGCGCCTGGACTTAAGCAATAACGAAGTATAGGACTACCTAGTTGGGCTTCGTAACTATGGGATCTGGGCTGCAGCATTTGGCAAGCCAAAACCAGTTGAGTATTTTTGATAATTACTGCAGTCTTTTACCAGAAAGAGTGGGTGACCGTGCCATCTTTGGAAAGTACTAGAAAGCAACTATGCTGCTGATATTGCAATTTGATTACGCCTAACTTTTGATGAGAAATTCGGATGAAGCGTGTTTCCTTTGTTTCTGAGAGAGTGACACTTGTATATAGCATTGTGAATGCCTACCTTGGGGGGAAAAGAAAATCGTATCACTGCAGAAATAGCTTTGGCACATTCTGTTATCTGCTTCACCTTACGTTTTGTTATCATTTTTTTTTTGCTTGTTTCTGATCTTGGGAAAATGTCAATTCATTACCTTGTCAGATATGGAAGATGCTAGACGCTGGAGTACCCCTTTTTTATTTTTACATCTGGATAATTTGTGTGTTGTCATGCCGCTCAGTTTTTGTGTGTACGTTAAATTGGGGCCTGATTTGGCACATTTTGACGATTCATGGTTCAAAGCCAGTTTTTGAAAGGTAAATTGGAAGTCCAGAAAACAACCTAGGATGAATCGCCACTTTTGAATATTTAATTAGTAGTGCGGATCTTGTAAACACATGAAAAATATTTCGAATGTTTGTAGGGCTGAGGTACTTTCGAAAAGGGGTGTTTCGTTTTAGAAGCACTAAAAGTTGTTCCATATTGTATTACCCATCCTTGTTACGTTTGCCCTGAAATGTGCAGAGGCGATGTGATTTCCAATAAAAAAAATCCTGATAATTTGTGACCAGTTGCTGCTAGTGCATAGACCGACACAGCTGTGCGCAGAGATTCCCAGACGAAAGCTCACCCATTTCTTCATAGACCGGACAAAACCTCTCCTGGAGAAAATTTCATGTTTGTCTTAAGTGCGCGGACTACTTAGGTGCATGCGTGCGACACTAAATTGCAACGATACATTAAATCTGACAGGCGCATGGTTTGTTGATTAGAGTAGAAACAAGTTTATCGATTGGTTAGAAGCGAATGCATTCCCCTGCTAGCTCCAGCAGTCTTGGTAGATCTCGGCGCACCTGGAACTCCTCACAAATATTTTTCAGACGATTCTGCAGCCGCCGAGTGGTTTTTCGCACCCGCTTCACTGGGGGCTCACCCCTTCGGGCTTGTGATAATGTCGTGGCAACAAGCGCCTGATTTTGCTGTAGGCATTCAATCAGCCTCCACACGCTTGGATGGGCGTGGCCGACAAGCTTCTGGAACCCGGTTAGGGTGACCACCTTCCTGCTAGCGAAATGCGGGACGCGCAAAGGGGGGGGGGGGGGGGGGGGGGGGGAGGGGGGGGGGAGGAGGAGGGGAGGGGAGGGTGGATAGAGGAAATTTATTAACAACGCACCACGAACCCAGGCTCTGTTAACACATTTAATATCCTGTGCTGTTTATACACCTGCTAATCGTATTTCGGGAATTAAGCTCAATTAAATTTCACTCCCAGTGATATATCTTTTATGCCAAATGTGTTATTAATGTGTCGAAGTTGAAAATAACTCAA